AGGCGGGGAGTCTGGGAAGCCGGGCGCGCTCCCGGGGCCCTCGTAGCCCCTCTGGACTCGGCATCCCGGGGGCCAGTGCTGGAACCAGCGTCTCTGACTCGCTGCCTCCCGCTCCCCGGGCCTATTTCTCGCACCGCTACACGCAGGTCGCAAATTCGGTTGCTGGGAGGTGAGGTCCACCGCTCTAGGACTCTCCCTGGCGCGGCCCCAGGTTAGAAGTAGGGTGCGCGCTACGGCCCCCAGGGCGGTGGGTACCAGGCTTGGGCGGGGAAACCACCAAGTCATCCTCTCCCAGTGAATGGGGTTAGTTGGCAGTTCCCACGCTAGGCTGCGCTCCGTAGGGTAGCCCCGAGCAAAAAAAGAAAAGGGAACCGGGATAGAAAGCTCTCCCAGAGCAGGTGGCAGCGCCCAGCGGCTTGGAGAGGTGGCCCGCGGGTACCACGTGGGAGAGGAGAGAGCGTGGGAGGGCTGTCTAACCGGGAGACCTTTCTCCTCCAGGCACTCCGCCCAGCAGGAACGGTTACACTGAGGTTTGGGCCTTTGCCCTGTTATATTCACGTTCGAGACCTTTACCATGAATCCTTGGACAGGCTGATGCAGGGTGAGACAGGAATGGCAAGTCCTGAGAGTAAAGGAATTCTCCAGGCATTACCTCCATGATTAACTCTTGGAAAAGCCAATCTGCTCTACCTTCCTTTGAAGTAGAGTTTGATTTCTTTTAAGGTGGGAACAGTTTTTTTGTATACTCATTATTCACTTCTTTCTACTCTATTTCCTAAGTTCAGAACTGAAAACTAAAAAAAAACACGAAAAAAAAACCAGAAAAAGATTGTGAAACTTCATGGTGTGATTATAACTGTTTTACCATTTTTTTAAACCATAAAGTGAGACGTGTGGGCTTTCACAGAATTTAAATTCCTAGAAAAACCTCTTTCCTTGTGCCCCCTTATGCATTTTAACGTATTGCATTTCCTCACAGTTAGTGAATAACTCTATTTTTTTAATATCTGATAAGCAGTCACTGAGTCCTTAAATGTTATTTTATGAATGAACAAACCTAAGACTTTATCTGGTTTTCCAGTTATTCTCAAATGGCACAGTAACAACTGAGTAATATAAACTAAGAGGCCATTGAGGGTTTAAT